AGAAATAGATAAAATAGCAACAACGGACGAACTAGAAATAAAAATAGAACAGTACACAAATTCAGTAACAGAAGCATGTAGAAACAGTATCCCAAAATTAAAAACTAAAAAACAAATGGGATTGCCCTGGTGGACTCATGAACTAACACAACGTAAAAAGGAGGTCTCCAGGTTGAAGCGGCGTATTTCATACGCAGCGCCAGTCCGTCGCGGGTGGGTGGTCGAGCAATATATGAGAGCGAAAGAAGAATATCATCAAGAAGTAAAAAGAGCTCAGACCACCAGCTGGAAGGACTTCTGTTGTAAGCAAGACCGAGAAACAATGTGGGACGGTATATATAGGGTTATAAGTCGCACATTGACACGGCAAGAAGATGTTCCACTTGTTCAGGACGGGAGGACGCTAGACGGCGAGGAATCGGCTAGGATGTTGGCGGAAACCTTTTATCCACAGGATAGCACTGAAGACGACGACACGGAACACACGCAAATAAGAGCTACAGCGGACACTGTAAACGAAGGGTCACATGATAGTCCATGTGACCCACCATTTACAACAGAAGAGCTTATGTGGGCCGTGTCTAGCTTCAGTGCAAAAAAGGCACCCGGTGACGATGGGCTAACAGCAGACATTTGTGAAGCGGCCGTCACCCTGGACTTAGCATTGTTCCTGGCACTAGTAAACAGATGCCTCAGTTTTGCATACTTCCCCATCAAGTGGAAAAGGGCAGTAGTTGTAGTATTGAGAAAGCCTGGCAAAGAAAATTACGCACACCCTAAATCCTACAGGCCGATTGGGCTTTTGCCTGTACTGGGGAAAATTTATGAAAAAATGTTAATCCGCAGAATAAAGTGGCACATCGTTCCGAAGATAAGCCGGAACCAGTACGGCTTTATGCCACAACGGAGGACTCCCTCTATGACATGATGCAGTTTATTAAGGCCAAACTGAAAGACAGAAAGTTGATTCTGCTTATATCATTGGACATAGAGGGAGCCTTCGATAACGCATGGTGGCCGGCGATACGGTGTAGGCTCGCGGAGATTGGGTGTCCGGTAAATCTGAGGCGGGTAGTAGATAGCTATCTTAAAGATAGAACGGTGTGCCTCAGATTTGCCGGGGCCGAATATTTAAGAAAGACCACTAAAGGGTGTGTGCAAGGCTCGATCGGGGGTCCAATTTTTTGGAATATTCTTCTGGATCCACTCCTGAGGGAGTTAAGTGCAAAAGGGTCCCGTTGCCAGGCTTTTGCGGACGACGTGGTCCTGATGTTCTCCGGGGATACGGCACAACAGGTGCAGGAGCAGGCCAATGAAATTCTCGAACATGTCAGGAGGTGGGGAGTCGGTAATAAGCTTAGTTTTGCGCCTCATAAAACTAAAGCTATGGTCGTAACAAATAAGCTCAAGTATGACTCACCACTTCTGGAGATGGGCGGGGAGGACATTAAGCTCTCCAAAGAAATCAAAATACTCGGCCTCACAGTTGACGACAAGCTTACCTTTAATACACACATCAATAAAACATGTTGTAAAGTTCAAAACATATATCGTCAACTGTCGAGAGCTGCAAAGATACATTGGGGCCTGAACCCGGAGATCATTAGGACCATCTATATTGCAGTAGTTGAGCCGATAGTCATGTATGCGGCCAGCGTATGGGCATCAGCAGCCAATAAACATAAGGTAAAGAAACAACTTGATATGGTGCAACGCGGGTTTGTGCAAAAAGTTATAAAATCTTATAGGACAGTTTCTCTACACTCGACCCTACTACTCGCCGGGTTACTTCCGTTGGACCTTAGGGTCCAGGAAGCAGCCCTCCTTTATGAAATAAAGAAGGGCTTCTCCCGGCGGATAGTGGGTGACCGAGATGTGGAGACCAAAATTGAATACTCCAAGACTACACATCCCGCGAAACAGCCCGGATTGAAATTCACATGCCTGGAAGACGGTGCACAAATGGACCAAAATGACAACAAGGGTCTTAAAATATTTACAGACGGGAGTAGGATAGAGGGGAAAGTCGGCGCGGCGTTATCCATATGGAATAACGCTGCGGAGACAAATACCCGAAAACTGAAATTGGAAAGTTTTTGCACCGTCTACCAGGCAGAGTTGCTGGCAATCCTGGAAGCAACTAGATATGCCCTAAAGGCTTCAGCGCAAAACTGCAGCATATACAGTGACTCGAGGTCTGCTCTACAAACAATTGTCCAAGACGTTTCCCTCCATCCCCTGGCAGTGGAGATAAGAAATAACATCTTAGAACTAAACAAACAAGGTAAAGTACTAAATATATATTGGATTAAAGCCCACGCAGGATTGGAGGGAAACGAGAGAGCAGACCACCTAGCCAAAGTAGCTGCAATAAAGATTAAAACGAAACCGGTATATGAAAAATGTCCGATATCATTCATCAAGCGACAAATCCGAATGGAATCGCTTGATGAATGGAACCGGCGTTATAAAAATGGAGAAACAGCTTCAATAACAAAAATATTTTTCCCAGACGTATATGATGCATATAAAGTCATTAGGAAAATTGACATGGATCCGATACTAGTTCAAGTCATGACAGGACATGGCGGGTTCTCTGAATATTTGTTTCGATTTAAATGTAAGGAGAGCCCGGCATGTGCCTGCGACCCTGTAAAAAATGAAAATATAATTCACATATTAACAGAATGCCCAATATATGGTAGAGAGAGAAATGAAATAGAAATAGAATTAGGAGTAGAAGTAAGTGAAGAAAATGTAAATAAAATAATTAGTAATAAGTATATTAGAGATAAGTTCATAGGATATTGTAAGCATATAACAAGAAGTGTAGTAAATAGAAATAAATAGTAACTAAGAAAGCGGACGCTGTAACAAAATATAATGTATAAGTATATGATGTAAACAGCTCCATAAAAATTAGTAGAAATAAGAACACAATTAAGACTAGAAATAATGAATGTAAGCATAAAACCTAAAAATAAATAAAAGAAAGAAAGAAAAGAATACAAGGTGAAAAAAGACACACCTGAAAGATGAAAGACCTCCACATATCAGGGGAACTAGAAAAAAAAAAAACCTAACCTAACCTAACCTAACCTAACCTAACCGAACTAGAAATTCGCTAATAACTTTCCTGAAAATTGGCCTTTTTCGTTCAAATTTTCTCTAAATAGTGTAATCAATTAGCCCCCATAAATCCCAGTACTTTTCTTAGTAAATATTTTTCGTTAAATAATTAAATTTCGCGTTTTTATTCTAATATAGTTGTAAATTCGTAAATAAAACATAAATTCTTCTCTAATTTTGCTGAAAATTGATCTTTTCTGTTCATATTTTCTTTTAATATAGTATAATTAACTGCCCCCTGTAATTCCCCGTAGTTTTTTCATAAAATTTTCACTTTTTTATAACAAATTTTCAAATAATCCGTTTCTTATAGTCGTAATTTTATAAAATTTTTAAACTTTTTTAAATCTTCGTTTTTTTCGCTCTTTTTGCACTTATTAGCTCCGTCCTGTGTAGAAACTGCCATCTGCACTCTAATCTGCTAAATAATACACAAGGAATTAGAGAAAATCGCCCTCCCACCCTCCCGGTTTTCATTACTTAACTAAACTTATTTATTATAAATGTCAAATCTGCACAATACTTCTTACGAGGCTGTTACCAGCCTCGATTTGGGTCAACAGTCGACTCCAGCAGAAGATCCAACATACATAACAGGTGACGAATTTGAAGAGGCACTATCCGACTCAACTCCAACTTTTAACGACGAGTATTTGTTAAAAGTTAGTGAACACACAAATTTGATTCTCCAAAATTTAGACGGTAATAGGAGCGTTACTCGCCTTAATAAAGATAATATTAAAAAATCTCTCGACGAAATCAAACGAAGTACACAACAGTTGTACGATCAAGTAAAAACGATATTACGTCTTTCAATTTCATCAACCAAAAATAAAACAGTTTCATTAATCAAGAGCACCATTAGAGAAGGGCTCTCTAAGCTAGCGGTCCAACCACAAAAAATTACCACCCAGCCACTGCAACATCTTGTTAACCCTTCTATCACTTCATCGTCACTTCCATCCTACGCCAAAGTTGTCAAATCTACTAAAACTGCGGAGAAACAAACTATCCCGGTTACAAAGCCGGCTATCATAGTTAGCTCTAAACAGCCAGTCTCTTCTTCAAAAGAAACTGTAAGTGCGTGGCGAAAAAGTATTCATTTTAAAAAATACACCTTTAACCCTTCTGAAGTTAAAACGGTTTCCAACCACAAAATTAGGGTAGAGTTTGATAACCAAGAACAGCGTGACGAGATCCTTAACGCCATAAATCATCCTGATAGCTTTGTTAACGCTGACGTAGCCAAGAAGCTCAAGCCTTTGGTAATTCTAAAAGGCATCTACAAAGACACACCTGTGAGTGAGCTTAAAGAAATCATTGTAAATCAAAATCCAAATATAAAAAGCCTCATTAAATCATCCGACGACATTACCTACCGATTCATGCGAAACTTTAAAAACGAAAATTTGTATAACGCTGTATTTATGGTTACTCCCATAATCTGGAGATCAATTGTGGAACTTCAAAAAATAAACGTAGACCATCAACGAGTACATACTGAAGACTACCCAGCTTATCTTCAGTGCTATAAGTGTATGCAGTTCGGTCACACGAAAAAATACTGCACTGAAGAAACAACAATCTGTTCCCACTGCTCATCATCAGAACACTCATATAAAGATTGCCCTATCAAAGAAGATTACACCAAAGTTGACTGCTATAACTGTTCCTCACATTGTAAAAATATAACTTAAATATTAACACTAAACACAGTGCTACATCGCTACGTTGTCCGCGCCTACAAAAACAAATAGAAATTTGCAAAACCAGAACCGATTATGGTTACTAATAATAAAAATAAAACAAGTTCAAAAAATCATCGCCCATTATAATGCTTACAAATTAACACCGGCAAAGGTTACGCAGCGATGCATGAAATGATTAAATACATAAATGACAACCAATGTGACATAGTATTTAACAGTGTACCCTACGTAGGCAAAGATAACGCAATGAAATGTATCCCTAACTATAATATATATCAATACCCCACAGCGCACCGAGTAAAAGCATGCTTACTTGTAAGGCAGAATATAGGTTGCACGCTAGGCATTTCGAAATATTCTACTTCCAACCTCTGTATTGTCCAAATAGACATTGGCGGTAAAAAACTATTCTTAATTAGCGTCTACATAGAACCCAAGAAAGATGAAATTAATACACTCAACAGTTTAGAAATATTCCTACAGGAAAATTCAAATCATACTCACATAATTTGTGGTGATTTTAACGGATGGCACCCCATGTGGGGCTCGATTAGATCAAACCGCCACGGAAATATGATTGTAGACCTTATAACTACCACTAATCTTATTTTATGTAATTCAGGCAACGTTCCTACTTATGAAACGGTAACACATAAAACCCATCGTGAATCCATAATTGATCTCACACTCACATCCAATTCATCAACAAACAAAATCTCCAACTGGAAAGTTGTGCTTGACGCTGCCCCGTCATCCAGTCATAATGGCATCACTTTCGACTTATCTGTAAATAATAGCTCGTTAAACAAGCCCAAAAAGCTTTCAACATTTAAATACAACACTCAGAATATAAAATGGGATGAGATTATTGAACAGTTTAAAAGCGAGTTAACCATAAATTTAGACCTTAATATCAACATAGAAAATTTAAGCACTTCACAGTTAGATAATTACATTACAAAATTAATAGTATCACTACAAAATGTTAGTGATAAACTCTTTCTGAGGAAATCTAAAGTAAAAAATCGAGCACCTTGGTGGAACGATAACATAGAAAAACTAAAACAAAAAGTTATTAAAAATCATCACAAAATTCAACAAACGAAACGCAGTAAGAAATCTATAACCGAATTGTTGTTAGAAAAACAAAACCTTAAAACTGAATATTCACAAGCCATTAGAATGGCTTCAACTGAGCATTTTAGGGATTTCTGCAATAAGCAGGGAAAGGAGGATGTATGGAGTGTAACCAATCGGTTACTTAAGACCACACCTATAGCGCAGCCACCCACAACTCTCAAAACTAAAGCGGGTAAATACACAAAAACTACGTACGAAACTGCTGAAACGTTTTTGAATGAATATTTTCCTGACGATGAGCGTCACACATGCTTAAGGCATATGCAGCTCCGAAATTCTTTTAACAAAATACCCGACACGCCACCAGATACTCCATTTACTGTAGAAGAAGTACTTGAGTCATTGAAATCCATGAACCCCAAAAAAATCACCTGGTATAGACCATCTCACATCGGATATATGTCTAAAATTTACTGAAACTTTCCCTATTTTAATCACCCAAATAATGAATAGGTGCCTGCAACTCGGCCACTTTCCAAAAGACTGGAAAGTCGCATACATAAAAATTATCCCAAAACACAATAAAACCAAACTTAATACCGCTTCATATAGACCAATAGGACTCATTAATATATTTGGAAAGGCATTAGAAAAATTAATTACTAAAAGACTAACATATTTCTTACACATTACTGGCGCAATGAGCAACTTACAATTCGGATTTAAAGAGCAAACATCAACAACGGCCGCTATTCAAAAAGCACTTGATACTGTAGAAAATGCAAGATTACAAAATCATCAAGTATTGGCAATCTCGCTTGACATACAGGCGGCTTTTGACAATGCTTGGTGGCCAGCACTCTTTCATAGGCTTCACACGGGTAGTCAAACTCGATTTTGCGGATAGTTTGGCTACCAAATATATGTCTCGGGGATGCGTACAGGGTTCAGTATGCGGTCCAATGCTATGGAACTTGATACTTGATGAGCTCCTAATATCTAAGCTACCCAATGGATGTCATCTCCAAGCCTTTGCAGATGATCTCGTATTAATAGTATCTTCAAAAGATATTCATAATCTTGAAACCACAACAAACGAAGTTCTTTCCGAAATTGTAGGTTGGGGAAACTCAGTCAAACTCAAATTTAATCCTAACAAAACTCAAATGATATCATTTACCAATAAAGCTCGCAAATGTCAAATCATTATGAATAGTCAACCATTGCAATTTTTCCGCCAGATAAAGTATTTAGGGGTCATTATAGACCAAAAATTAAATTTCATTAAACATGCAGAATATACAATACAAAAATCGTACAATCTATTTCAAAAATTAGTTAAATATATAAAACCCACTTGGGGAATAAATTCTGAAAATGTGCATACCATATATCTTTCTGAAATAGAACCTATCGTCTGCTATGCAGCAAGTATTTGGAGTTCTGCTCTTAAATATAAGTATATTGAAAAACCTTTACTTTCTCTTCAACGCAATTTCGCCATCCAAATCATAAGAGGATTTAGAACAAATAGTACGGCAACTGCAATCTCTTTAGCAAAACTTCATCCAAGTAAAAATGTGTGCAAATTTAGAAACAACAAAACGATGTAAAACTTCCATATATCTTCCTAAAGACATTGAACTCGAAACACCAGTGAAACCTGCTGAACTTCCACATCCTTGCCAAAGAAAAGCGATCCAATTTCAGGAAGCATCAAACCAACAGGATATAAATCAGTACTCCGATACAGCAACATCCAGTATATTTACAGATGGAAGCAAAACTGACAAAGGTGTGGGAGCTGCTTTTGTTGTTCTTAACTCAGAGGGTCAAAACGTCATTAAAAAATATAAACTTCACAACACTTGTTCGGTATACCAAGCAGAACTTTTTGCAATTTATAAAGCAAGTGATTGGATCCTGACCAGTAAACTTAATAAATTTACAATATTTTCCGATAGCAAGTCATGCCTTTTAGAGTTAAATAACCCAAACACAACCAACCCTTTAACAGCAAAAATACACCGCAATGTTACTAATGCTGAAACAAGAAATAAAACCATTAGATTCATTTGGACGAAAGCCCATAATGGTGTTATCGGAAACGAATTAGCGGACACAGCGGCTAAGGCAGCAACGAGTTTGAATAAAGCCCCGGATTATTCAAAATTTCCTATCAGCTATATAAAACAAATCCATCGTAAGACTTTACAAACTGCAAGTGAAGATTACTACAACAACATAACTAACTGCACATATACCAAAACATGGTGTCCATCATATGAGGCACTCCATATCGTCTTAGAAAAAATCAAACCTGACTTCCATTTTACGCAAATCCTAAGTAATCACGGATTCCATAAAAGCTACCTACATAGGTTTAAAATAAGCGCTAATGATCATTGCCCATGTGATGGAAGCACACCTCAAACTATTATCCACCTGATAAAAGACTGCCCAAAATTTAATAATACTAGAATAGACCATGAAATTAACTGCAATAACTTAAGAATAAATCCATATGAATTAACAGAAATAATTAAAAAATGCGCAACTATAGAAACGTTTACTAAACACATAAAAAACATTGTGAATTCATTAAAAAAATTCAATAATTAATAAAAGTATTAGCGAATTAGAAAAATAAAGTAAAAATAGACAACAAGACAATTTCAAACGAAATAACTTGTCATGGTTTTACTCAAGCCCTAGGGGTCGGGGTCCAGGCAAGATAAGAAACAAATGTGCGGTGTTTTTGGTATAAGTTATTTAATTGTAACATAAAAGCCTACAACAACTCAACACTACAAAACAATTAACTAAATAGTTTTAAGCACAAAAAAACTACAAATTATCCTAACTCTAAGATATGTAAGCACTAAAATTTTAGCTAATTCTACAGCTACGCATTAACTAGAAAAATAAAATGAAATATAATAAAACATAAAATTTACCACTAGCTCTTTTACTTTAGTAAACAAGACTTATAAATAAAGTATCATTACAAAAAATGCAAACTTAATAAATAATAAAAGAAAAAGCAAAATCATAAAAATAAATTTCCATATTTTTATTCGGAGGTTTGAACCATGAATTTGAAGAAGTCGCCCAATGTACTAGGCCGCTATCCCGATAGGCTATGCCTGCCGATGACGTTTCAAGTCAAATTAGGATATAGTATCATCTCTCTATGTCCTCATGTTTTATGACGAAGTAGATTTTCTAATAATTCTTTGCCAGAGATATAGGAAGGCGTATGATCACAATTAACTTAATGGGCGTTTCCACAGACTGAAATAAGTGCATAATCTAAGAATACTATCGCAAAGTTACTCAGACTACAACATAAGAAATACTATTAAACACTTACCCCGTTGCACCTCTAAAATTAACGTTCCACGAATAAAATATGTATTTAAATAATACAAAATTAACTGATACACAGCGATAATATGTACGTAAACTTTTGTGCATCAAACTTCCAATGTCTGACAAAAATTCCCACTTCTCGCGATCGCGACTGCGGCCCTCCGCTGTCCGTAACCAATTCCTACCCTCCAATATTTTTCCAAGTTGAGAAACATGACCCATCTCAATTATGACGTAAATCGTAACATTATTTTTTTATCATCACAAACTACAGAGATCCAATCTTTATAATACAACTTGTATCCCGATAGCATATTGCATTATATAAAAGAACTTAACAACCTCTTATTGAAAAAAAAAACCTAACCTAACCTAACCTAACCTTTTTTTTTTTTACATGGGGAAATGCCTACGCATACCCGCCTCGCGGGGGCAAGGACGGGTTATGTCGGACTCGCACCGACTAAAACCCCATGGTGTTCCACCCTCGTCGCATATTGGCAGGGCCACGGGAACGCTTTCGCACACTTCCGCGGCCCCACCTGCGCTGGCCGCCCCATGGCGGCCCCTCCTCGGGAGAGGAACACTCCTCCCCCATCTCCTTCTCAGGTAAGGCGCACCAGAACACATGGTGCGCCCTCCTCCTCGGCCTCCAACTTCTAATGCGCAACGGACGCCCCCGTGTCCGATGCGCGAAGGCCATGGGGCCAGGAAAAACTAGCACTCAGAAGCACCGGCCTTCCTAGCCCCAGCGGCGGATCTGGTCTTGGGCTCCGCCGCCAACCAAGTTTCGGCCGCGGAGGGTAGGGAGAGCGGCGCCTCGCAATACCGACACTCCTCTCCCCCCGCGGCCCCACCACCACCGCATCAACGGTGCGGCCCCGTTTGAGTCGCGGAGGATAGGGCGAGTGGCGCATCGCCATACCAGCACGCCTCTTCCTCCGCGACTCCACCTCGCCTAACCTTTTTTTTTTTTTTTTACATGGGGAAATGCCTACGCATACCCGACTCGCGGGGGCAAGGACGGGTTATGTCGGACTCGCACCGACTAAAACCCCATGGTGTTCCACCCTCGTCGCATATTGGCAGGGCCACGGGAACGCTTTCGCACACTTCCGCGGCCCCACCTGCGCTGGCCACTCCATGGCGGCCCCTCCTCGGGAGAGGACTACTCCTCCCCCATCTCCTTCTCAGGTAAGGCCCACCAGAACACATGGCGCGCCCTCCTCCTCAGCCTCCAATTTCCAACACGCAACAGACGCCCCCGAGTCCGATGCGCGAAGGCCATGGGGCCAGGAAAAACTAGCACTCAGAAGCACCGGCCTTCCTGGCCCCAGCGGCGGATCTGGTCTATGGCTCCGCCGCCAACCAAGATTCGGCTGCGGAGGGTAGGGAGAGCGGCGCCTCGCAATACCGGCACTCCTCTCCCCCCGCAGCCCCACCACCACCGCATCATTAACGGTGCGGCCCCGTCAGAGTCGCGGAGGATAGGGCGAGTGGCGCATCGCCATACCAACACTCCTCTTCCTCCGCGACTCCACCTCGGCTGCAGCGGTAGAGGGTGCGGCCTCCCCTTTCACCGCAGCCCCCCGACACACATCCGAAGTGGGCTCGCCAAGCCTACTCGGAGCGGCCACCTCGGGCCGGCCCTACACCACGGGCCAGCCAAGGGGTTCCTCTTTGTTCACCGTGGGTGACCAAGCCACGGCTACTAAGCCCCCCCGCCACGACAAGGCGGGAACCCGTTTGGGGGGGACCTCGCCTAACCTAACCTTTTTTTTTTTTTTTTTTTTTACGTGGGGAAATCCTCATGGACTACCTCCGCCTGGGGAAAGGCGGAGGGGCGTGCCGGACTCTTACCGGCTAAAACCACCCCGGTGTCTCCTCACACGTGCGCGTGGGGCCGCGGGAATCCAAATTCTTCCGCAGCCCCACACTAGTGCTGGCCCGGTCTGTCCGGGCCTCGTCTCCTGCACGGGGTAGTGAGGTGTTAAACTACCCCGTGTATCGCCTCAGGGGCGCGCGCCGACACCCGCGCGCGCCTCCGCCTCGGGTCCATCGAGTAGGGGTGGCGAGGGCTTCCCCAAGTCCCTCGCCCCTGGACC